AACATAGTATTCTCAGCACAAAGTATTTCAGCAAGTTTCTGTTTCTCATTTCTTGATCTATCCTGGCGATAAATATTAACTGATCGCCAATTAGATGTTATCAGTTTAGGAATCAACATCTGAATAATGTACATTCTTTTCGACGTATATTGCCAGAGACCACAATGTCTCTGATTGTGGTCTTTCCTCATTTGTACAGCGAAAAGTATTGAAGTTTTTACAAACGCACATGAATAGGTTGTGCGATTAATTGACATATTGATCTGTTGAAATAAATAAAAGACAAATATTCAAGTTGACCACCTAGTTGATACTAGGATTAAACGGCTTTCTATTGCTTCCTGGTTGTCTGCCTAGTATTAGATCGTAATTCAAACAATAAGCACTGAGATTATGTGAACGTTTGTCAATATTTGGGAAAAAATAGTGTGGAAGGAATCGAGCGCCGAGAAGACATTATGTGTAAAAATAATATTTGCAATAATCTTATCAACTTAAATCTAATTAATTGCAATATTTCATTCAGCAATCCTGTCTAAACTTCTTCAAGTAACAAGGGGGAGGGAAACAATTTTATATCGTAGCATAATAGGTTTTCTCGGTGGCTGCTTTCAACCTCTGTCTTTAAAATATACTGTTGGATTCACCTTTATATGGTAGATGGATATAAACTTTTTTCTCTGAACTAACTAAACAAGAGGTCTTGGTATTGATTGACTTTTGCATCTGATAACCATTTGCTATTAATAGATCAGTCACTAACTTTTTATCTTTTTCAACGTGTCGGCAGTACAAATTCTTTGAGTCCTCTTAAAGAGACACTTAATCAAGCCTCACTTATATTGCAATGGACAGAAACTATGGAAATTTAAGTATTGCTAAATTCAAGTTGGTTTCCTATACACTGACCGCCTTATAGTGCCATCTTCCCTTCGACTTAAAAGTATATCTAAAAAGGCTAATTGGCCATCATTTTCTGCTTCATATGTCATCACAATATCATTCTGAAACCCATTGAGGTTATCTAATAACCGGTAAACATCGCAATCTTTATCACATATAGTCAGAATATCATCGATGTATCTTCTGTATAAAGTTGTCTTTATTGATTTTCATATAAAATGCCGTGGCAAGTATATGTGTGACCAGATTTTTCGAAATGTATAGCGCAAATACATCACATTTTTCAGATCAACTCCATGTTCACATTGTTCCATAAAATAGTTTACTTACTAGAATATGGCAGCACAATTGCACATATTATTTTAATTAATCAATAAAATTTGATCAAATGTGTGTGCTCTTTTATTACAAAAAGCAAACTAAATAATTATCTAGAAATTGTTGACTAATTAAAGACAGTCTATTAGAAAACTTTAAGCTTAAATAATTTTCATACTATTACCAGATAATAATCATTTAGTGACCCATCGTTTATCTCTGACTCCAATTGGATCATGTGATTATCGTCGATTCTCATAGGTAATTATCGACTTAACTCGTGTTATGGTGAATGAGGACACAAACGGCGATAATAGAATGTATTTGAGCATAAAATTACACAACATCTTAGTAAAATCTGAGAACCATACGGTAAATACTTCATTTGCAAAATGACAATCAATTGTCTTAGACTTCATTGTTCTGTCGCTTTTTACATCAATCGTTCTTTGTTCTCGTTATCTTTTCTTTGATCTTCTTCCGCCAGGCGTTTCACTTTCAATTGATTATACATACTACTTATATCTGTCAGCATCAGTAACACACACCACACTCGCTCCCCCATTTAGAGCAGCCGTTCTTGCAGTGGTTCTGCTCGCCGTGACAATTTCTTCTTTTCTGCAGTCTGTGCCACGCTCTCCATCAGAATGTCGGACGCGCTGACCTTAATAGCTCCACCGACCTGATGGACTATCAAAATCTGACGTCCATCCAGGACCCACGACGTTCAACATCTGAGCTCCAGCGACCTGCTAAGCCATCTACATCCGATGTCCGCCCACCAGCCGCACATTTCACCGCTCCTCTCCATCGACAACACCCGCTACAACCAACACCGCCCTGGCAGAACACTCCAGTCGACGTCACGTCCCCGCACCAAACCGCCCCAACTAGCACCTCAGGTCCAAGTTCACAACGGCATCCACAGAACCGCAACCTTCCCCCCTCCTGGTTGGCATAGACACCAAATGTAGTGAACGAGAACACAAGTGGGAACAATCAAGTGTATTTGAATACAAAATTACAGAATCTCTTAGTAAAATCTGAGAACCATACAGTAAATATTTCATTTGCAAAATGTTAATCAGTTGTATCAAACTTGACTGATTCTTCTTTTCCATACCAATCACTCTCTGTTCTTTTTCTTCTCCTTCGATCTTCTTAACATTTTGCCGCCAGGTATTTCACTTTCGATTGATGATACATACTACTTATATTTGTCGACACCAGTAGCACACACCACAGCGTTACTGAATAACAGAATTAAATAAGTTAAATAGAAGAGAGAAGTTTTGAATATGTACATTTTATACAATCGTTTATCAGAACAAACAATCAGAGGGACAAAGAGAAGGAAGCGAAGAGGAGAGAGCGAAGCGAAACGAAATGATGCATGTTGGAGAAGGCATGTAAGCCAACTCACTTCACTTAAGTGTTACTCAATATTTATAGTGAAATTGAATGGAGGCGAAGAGAGGTAAGGGAAAGGTTAAGCGAAGTAAGGTAAAGCAAGGCGAGGCAAGGTGAATAATTAACAAGGTCGAAATTTAACTCGAGAAGGAAGAATCAACTGGCCTGTCCGGAATCTAGACTAACCCATCTGGGCTCAACATGGGACCAGTCACTACAATCAGATAGTTGAATTCCAGTTTTATCATTTTTGACATGTGAATTTCAGAATTATATATTCTATTCTAAAACGTTTTACAGAAAGATATTTAAATGATTTTACAACCGTCCATGAATGATGGCTTAACTAGAAAAATATCCACTTCATAGCATAGTTAGATCAGATATCGAACATACAATGAGATCTCTCAATTATAATCAATATAAAATCTAATCCAAATACAAATCAGCTCAAGTTGTCACATCTAGTCAGTACAATGAGATGTGAATTATCAAAAGAAATCCCAGAATAGTAGAAGTATCAATATCGATGATACTAACAAATTTAGATAATAGTTAATATGATTCGACAAGAAAGAATGAGTTCATGAGATAAAAATTACGAGGTAATTTTAATGCTCACCATTTAATGTGTCCAATTAGTTATCACAATAATCTCACGGTACCCAATCAGTTAGTCTATCCCTAACAACACTAACGTAAATATTGAATTGTTCTAGTAATTTCAGTAATTAAAATCATATTATAAATTTAATTAAACAAACTTACTATACTTTCGCATTATTTTTACCATTTAAACTGCCTTGGGCTGTAAGATAGATGCAGACAACTAAACGAAACTAATGATACTAAATAATGAGGTCATTAATTAATAGCCTGAATTATATCACACAGATATAGATTTCCTGATTGAAATGTTCAAATATAGATTAGTGATACTGTTGTACTCATCATTTATCTACACCAAAATATTGAGCGACAGAGTAGCATTCCTCATGTTTGGATTTCCAATTGCAAATGAATATTGTTATTTCAACTACACTGTTTTGAAAATTTCTAATTTTTTTCACTTGTTTTTGCTAAGGTGCCGTAACCTCGATCGATATAGTTGCATACAACTGACCTACAAACCTTCGTATACAAATCTCATTCAATCTGGATGAATAATTAATGAAAGTGGTTTTCTCTCTTATTAGGACTAAGTAATCTGTGTAAGTTAATTTCACATCTGTAGGAAAGCTAATGTCAGAGTTTTCTCAGTGACTTCCAACATAGTCTGTTTAGGATATTCAGCCATTCATAATACAAATAGTCAACCTGATGTACAACCGTTACAATATTCAATGGTTTAAATTTAGTTTAAACTAAATGTTTCTTAGTGTAGGAAGTTGTGCAGACTGATAAATTTCATAGTTCCACATTACAAACTGACTTGAGTAAGATATTTATTTGAAGTCACGAAGCACTCGATGGCTGTCCTATTATAGGTATCCTCCAGAGACATTGTGTATCCACGACCCCACTAGGGAACGAGCCTAGCTTCTGAAATAAATACTGTTCCACCAGTCAGTTAAAGTTTTAAACAAGGTCATCTAGGTTGTTAGAGGTGTATGAGCGGCCACTAATTCCCAGCTTCATACATTGTGGAAGGGTAGTTTTTGAAATACCAGGAAGCGGAACTAGATTCTTAGTGCTTTTGGCGACCTAGGAGCGTAACCGTAGTGCTCAAGGGACAGGTACCTGAGGCCGGTCACACATTACTTTTCTGCAAGTTCTTTATGCACTAGCTCCATACTTTAAAGGCTTTAAGGTCGGAGACAAAAATCCATGAGTAAGATGGTGTGGTATTTTAGGGTCGACTTTATCTGACCTTTCTCTCCCGTCATAGAAAAACAGCATCATTACACATGTTAGTCGTCTGAGGGAAATACCTTATTGGTGTTACACTTCAGAATAGTCAGCAGCATGACTTTTTCCTCGGACCTAACATTACCGCTTTTAGTCTAACCGATATTCCTAGCACGTTACGTCCTAAAGGAATGTGTCCTATTCATTATTGGCTCAATTCGGTTACCACAATAAACAATCCTGACCACCGTATTAAAGCAACAACAATGATCTTCAATTAGTGTAATTCATTTACCAAGCACAAGTTTATACACGTCCGGCTTTGAGTTGCATGCTTTCGGTATGATAAACAGCGATACTTTTACTTAGCAGCTCTAACCGAACCTTGGATCTACTTAGTTGAAAATCAATTATGTACATACTTCAATTTCAGTGCTAAACTTTACTGATTGAATTATCTTATCAGTAGACGCAGAAAATTAATACATTAATGTGTCATCCAGTAAGAATTTGTTCCAGTCAATTCAAACGATATATTTACTACCATAAATTGATTTAAGAATATAAAACACATAATTATGACTGTATATTTTGTGCACAATTACATAATACAATGAATTCATAGTCGAATCATTTAAAACAGCAACGAAACACACAAAATAAATCAGTAGTAAGTGTTTCAGTAATGATTCATTGTAACACAAAGACATACACATAAAATATTATAATAAGTTTAATTGGAAAACAAGCGATGATAATTCCAGAAATCAAAATACACACAGGTAAATAAGATCCATTTGTTATTAGTTTGTATCTTTATTCTTCATGTATTTACGATTGATGAATGGACAAAATCGAACAAACAAAAGATTACATGAAAAAGGTGTATGCATGTGTGTGTGTGTGTGTAAGAGAGAGAGTCGAAAGTAAGAAACAGTAATACCCTATTCCTTTTTTGCTTTAGAATAAAAATCCGAATTATTATGAATACGGATTCAGTGAGTTCTCGGATGTCATAACACAAAGTATTCAAATATGACAAATACTGTCATATGTTATTGACAACTTGAAAGGATAGAAATGTAGTTCACAAACTGAAGAAATAACATATTAGCATTAGAGCAAGAAATATACTCACTGCTAAGAGATGTATGATTACTATTTTAAGTATGAATAATAAGTGTGTTATCGTAATGTTAAACAGAATATATCATCATAATCTTAATAACAACAACAATTATAAGTCGATGATTCGTGAAGTTCAAGTCTGATATAAGGGCCCAACTGAGATTACAACTCTTATAATTGATAGGACAAATGATGAAAGAATGTGAATTTGATGAAATATTAATTTTCAGATGATGTTTACGTCATATTCTAGCTCTGAAGTACACAATCTTATTCATTATCCATCCATAGCAATGGTAAAAGTTGATATAATCACCTTACTTAACAATTACAAAATAACAATAAAACAGTTCTTTTTTATTTTAATGAACAGAAAATTGAAAAGAAGAATAGGGATGATTAACAACGCACACATACAAACACACAGAGACACGGAAAAAGAAAAGAGATGGGAATAATACTTCATTCATTGTAATACTCATTTGTATTGTGAGTGTGATGTAACTATATTTGTCTTTTTATGTTTTCGAAATTATTCAGAACGTTTATTCAGACTTATTATTTTTATGAATCTCTATTACCAAAAAATGATAGAATAATTAAGAATAAATTGACAACATCCAAGTATAATTGTAAAGCACCAAATATATATTCTTCTGCGCTAAGTTCCAACTCTCGTCCACCGATAATATGTTGTGTATCAAAAGCCAGATACTGAAAAAAATTACAAATATACACAATAAACTCAATATATAACTGAGAAATATTAAAAAATGATGCACAAACTAGAATATTATATAATAAGTTGTAAGTCTGAATCTCGCTCTATCTATTTTAATTTGCCCTAGTGGTCTAGAGGCATGATACTCGCTTTGGGTGCGAGTGGCCTCGGGTTCGAATCCCGGCTGGGCCAAGACTTTAGCCCCCAAATGCACTGGTATGGCCGAGAGTGGGGAGAGTCCGCTCTCCACCTCGAAATGCTCCCACACGGTCACGCGTACACAGCCTCTGACAGGGAAGTCCTACTCACTGCTTTCTCGTGGCGGGGGTGTTGTTTACGAAAATGAGAGGACAAAAAGCGAATGTCCGGCGCTTTAACCGGATTCCAAACCAATGGTGCATAGGGGCTCCAGGATCCTGAAGGAACAAATGGCGTATGAGCCAATCGTTGGTCACCGGCTACCATGGGACTGCATCTCCCTACGTTGCTCCGCTGCCTTGTGGACCAGACCTTTAGGTCGAAGGTTCCGGGTGTGACCTCCTACGAAAAATACCTTCTTCGGTTTGGGAATCCAGGCAGTATCACAGCCCTCACACATATCGAATGAGATTTGTGTGGCGCATATGTATTTAGTGCCTCATTGTACCAATATCTACGTGTTAAAATAAAATAAAGAAAAATAAATTTTAAGTTTGGTGAACAAGTCAGTCGAATGGTAGCATTGGTGCCCAACATATACAAAAAAATCCAATCCAAAACTGAGTATTTATAAATCTGTATTTAGTTAACTCTAAGGGGTGAAGTTCCACCCCACTTATATTGATTTTAGAAGCGAAATGATGTAATAAACATACTTTTAAACTTAAAATATGAGAATATAGGGTTGGAATTATTAGTTTTAACAGTAAAGAATTAGATTATCTAGCTGTTATGCAATGAAGATTACTACATCGTTGAGCAATGAGTTTGAATTTTGAAAAACATGTACATTCTCTTGGTACTGAGCACTAACAAGAAAAGCACTTAGATCAAGAATTTCCTGTCAATACATTTTTCCTTCAATAAACCACGTTTGAAACAGTTTGTACGAAATAGAATTAGAAACAAAACTGTAAATACTTATACCGAGTAAATTACATATTAAAAAGCCTCTGATTACATTGTATTTTGTTGTCCATAACAATATTAGGCAACTAACAGCTCACTTAGTATAGAAAGTTAAGTGGCTATAGGGAGTGGATATTTTAAAGAACTAAGATTTGGTAACCACAGTAGGAATTACTCTCAAAAGAAAAGTTAACAAATCAACAGAGCTCAGTAAAAACAAGTGTAAACATACCACACCAAACAACAAGGCTGCGAGTCCACCATAAACGACTTGCAAAATCTAATTGGAGACAAGTGAGAAAAATACATAAAAATATTGGTTATCTGAGAACTCTTTTTATGAATTCATGTTCACCATACTATGGAAAAAAGATATAATTTATTGAGAAGTATCAGAATAGTAATATTTTAAGGGAAAAATTAGATGACTAACTGGACATATCTTTGAGCATAAACATTGAGAGAACCATGAAATATAACACAAGAAATAATGTAAGTTATTTGTTACATACAGGTGGGATTACCGAATTACCAATATTGAGGTTAGACTCATGATACTAGGCAAAGATAACAAATCGGTAGGTGGGGTAATGAATCTGAACCAACTGAGGTGGTTAAGATATGTATTATGAATGCTCAACCATGGCTTACCTCGACCCAAGATGTTCACCAGTGTAGGAATAGGCTGGAAGAAAGCAGAGGGTGACTAAACCAGGAAGCGACAATACTCCATGAAGTTAATGACTGTCGGACCGAATCGTTTATGTAGATTCAGATTAGCTGGTTGAGGACAACGCGATAAGTATGATCAATTTTAAAATTATCCCACACATTTCTACTTCCCGAATCCATTATTTCTTCCCTAATTATACAATTCATGCCCAATCTTTTCTAATATCAATGATACTGTTACAACTTCTATTGCTGTCATTTATCTTTATAATCTTATTTCATCGTAATAAAATGTTGTGGTAACTTGAACCTATCCATATATGGGTCAGGCTCTATATTTCCTATGACTGATTGACTGACTGACCATATACAGATTTGTGTGCACCACCACACTTCAAACGTAAAAAAGCTTGTCATATACTATGCGGTTGTTCAAACTGAATTCGATGGATACAACTTCAAACCTATTGTCCAATAGTTAAAAAACTAATTCTGTAACCCATAAATAACTGCTTAGATCAAACTGAAAACGACTGAATCAATACTTTGTTTTACATTGAAGCTATTCATTATTGGTAAACAATTTCAACTTCTTTTCGAACAGAGTTAAGTATGGTTAATATGTCTAAACTATCAATTCACTGCTAGCTAAGTCATTAAATCAGAATTCATGAATCAGTATTGATTTTGAGATTTAATATACATGTATAAATTGATATATAGCTCAAATCCAATGGTATAATGTTCACACTTAAATTTACTGCACTTACTATGTTTCGATTAAAAAAATATTCAAAATAATTGGTTAACATTTTTCGCTATATTTAATGTTTGTTTGCTAAGTAATAATTGTTTGTTGCCTACGCAACTTAAAAAGTTAACAAATAAAAAAAACTATGATAATGATATATTTTGATTCCTTTTTTTTCATTCCACCATAATACCACATAACTATGTCCTGTTATTTTTAGACATGATGGCAATGCAACAATTTATTAATGAGGTCGGTTATGTACATTGTTGTTGATGAGTCTTGTATCAAGATGATATAATTAATCGGTGTCTTCAGGTTTATGACAGAGTTGTTGTCTAGATAACGTCAGTTTATAATGTAAAACTACAAAGTGAACAATTTACACAAAATCATCCATACTATAATGATGACTACTTTATATAATTATTAGAAAAGATTTGAATTATTCTGTTGTGTATATTAACGATTAAGGTTTTTTGGTATAAATACATCCTGTGCAGAATGCCTAGATAGTCATTTGTTACAAATGTTACAGAATAAATGGATTATTTAAAGTGAAAGACATCGTGTTCGAGTCTCAGTGTGAAAATCAACACTGAAATACAGTTGTATCCAACTAATTAGTTCCTAAAATGATGAGACGAACATCCTAAATTCCATTGCTAGCCATAGTCTGTTTAAACTATGAAGTAACCATTTGTATTGATCGTTTGAATCTATCCATTGATGTTTAGGAGTACAATTGATTAGTCTCTTTCGGCATAATGTACATCCTGTAGGAATTGCTTCGATATTGCCTTTAATTACAAGCATTATAAGCAGAGATGGATAATAGTGGCTAACAAGGGGTCCAAAAAGCGCACTTCATCCTATTTGGGACTCTTCAGATGGGCATACCTGCAGTCAAGTCTTAGAGCGAACATCAACTCTGAGATGCAAGTACATCCAGTTGACGAGTCCCATATAGGATGAAACGAGGGTCCTGATATCCACTGCTAGCCACAATTTACTTCTACTTATGAAATAATCTCTCTTCTTTTTGTGTGTAACGCACAATCTTATTGTTCTATTACATGAAATAAATTAAGCATATTATGAATACAATTCAATGATTCAAAATATTAAAACTTACCCGATTCGGTCCGGATACAGCAAAAACAATGACACAAGCAAGTCCAGTTAACATTACCACAATACTTAATACAAATATTAAGGAAGTACACTTTGTAATATCAATTCGTGTTTGTATAGCAAAAACAGAAATTGCTATACATAGACAAGCTGTTATAACAACAGCAACTAGAACAGATTGAGTGTCATAAAATGATGTAATTGTACCCGTCATATAAGAAAATGCCAGTGTCTGAAATAAATAAAAATAAACAGTTAATGGCAATAAGAAATAATAATAATAATAAAACATTCAGACAAAATGTGAATCTACAAAGGTAGCAGTAACACTGTTGATTGAAACGTAGGTAATGGTGGTATGGTTGTTACCCTAAGTATTTGTATAAATGCTTATAACATTGAATTAATTTCATCAGTATATATCGAAAATAAGAATTCTCTAATACTTGACTTGAACTACTACTTATTTTAAGTAATTTTAGCATGATATTATATGGCTTAATCGCTGGTATTTGGCTTTATACTTAAAGCACAAAACTTTCGACTAATAGGTCATAGGTCCGAAGCCCATCACCTAGTATGAGCGAACAGTATCACTAATTGTTATCATAGGAACAGTTTGGTTAGAATTCGAGTAAATTAAATGATACTTATTAAATGAGTTACTGTCTAGATTGGTTGATATATACATTCATACAAGTTGCTACTTGGTACGAATCAATAATAATAAAGTCAATATTTGGATCTATCAATTAAGACATTATTTTACAGTGCTTAGTATTCAATAAACATAAAAACACTGAAGCTATGTTAAACTTTATGATACTTATTTATGATTCAAAAAGATACACCTTTAACTGGTTACTCTTTATAAGATCTCTTAATTGTCGACTTGAAATATGAATACAATAGTCTTACTATAGCAATAATATTGTGAAAGTAATACTCCCAGATATCTTCCCAGATTTTGCATATATGGAGTAGGTTACATTTACTTTCAGTCCAATCATAGGAAATGAAATTATTCAACTGACTAATTGTTTTACGTTACTAAAATAATTCAAGGTTAAATATAGATTTCGAGATTGAAATAAATCGAATTAGGCATAGAGAAGAGGTTTCATAAGTTTATAGTTGTTCACTTTATTCAAATGCACATATACTGTCCTCATAAAATGACATGAGTAGAACTATAAATATAAAAATGTTACTTGTTTCATTAAGAATACACCTGGTTATAGAAACAGAGTTGATCATTTGTCTGTGAACACATTCAGGAAACAGTAACAATTATTAATTTTATAGTCCCAAATGCCTTGGTATGGCCGAGAGTGGGGAAAGCCCTCCCTCCCTCTCGAAATGCTCTCACACGGCCACGCATATACAGCCTCTGACAGGGAAGTCGTACTCACTGCCTTCTCGTGGAGGGGGTGTTGTTTACGAAAATGAGAGGACAAAAAGCGAATGTCCGGCGCTTTACCCGGATTCCAAATCAATGGTGTACATGGACTCCAGTATCCTGAGGGAACAAGTGGCGTATGAACCAATTGTTGGTCACCGGCTTCCATGGGACTGCATCTCCTCACGATGCTCCACTGTCTTGTGAATCAGACCTTTAGGTCAAAGGCTCGTGGTGTGGCCCCCTAAGAAAACCATCTGTTTAGATCTGGGCACCCTGTCAGTATCACAGCCCTCACACTAATCTAATAATTTATGTGGCGCATATCTATTTGGTGCCTCGTACCAATGTTTGTGTTTAAATAAATAAATAATTAATTAATTATACCCCTTAAAGCTTTATGAACTATCAAGATATTTTAGTTGAAATGAAAGCTCTATGGTTAACAATGATATACCAAGTACATATATCTTGTAACTTCTATGTTACAATATAGATCTAATTACAGAGTCAATGACTGTTAAATTGAGCCATATCAGTAGGGTCCTCATGATTATCCTAACCAATAGTTGATGTTGGGTGATATGATTCAAAATCGGTCACAATAATGCAGATTCACCAACACTGTATCTTCCTTAAAATTTTCAGTTGTAAAACTAATTGATCTTTTTCTACCCTATGAATGCATTCCTTCCTCTCAAAGCATATTATCTACACTTGCCTAATGTCTTCTTCTTCTTCTAATACTACTACTCTGTTTTTATAATTTCATCTCATCGTGTTGAGATGTTATGGCAACTTGAACTGATAGAAATATTTCTTAAATTCTACGTTATTTATGATTAATTGATTGAATGTCGATTGAACTAACATAATATCTCTACAGACTAATTAACACTATGAATTATTCTGCATTATTAACAAAATGATGAGATGATTTATGAGAAAAAATTTAATTAACAACTATGATTCTATTCTACTTAACTACTATTAAATAAATATCTACATACTAGAAAGTTTGTAGATTTATGCAAAACAAAGATGTTTTTGTTTTAAAATGAAAAAGAAAACACTTACAAAAACAGATAAAGCGATCACATTTCCAGGATATCGTCGTCTTACACTGGGACAACAAACCAATGCGATATAAGTGCATAAAAATGTAGCACTAATGTATAAAATACAAAGAGAAATCAATAAATTCAATTAACAGAATTGAGAAATTTAAAATTAGGGGAAAAAAAACTGTTTCAATGGAAACACAAAGTGGACAGGTGAAAACATTACTGGTATTTAAGATAGTTTTTGATGTTAAAAATTGTAATTGATAATTGATATTATTGTTACTCATCTACTAAATATAAATTTACTCTACTGGCCCCATTTGGTCACATTGTTTATGTGAGAGTTTGTGATATTATTCGGATATATGAAATCGAAGTAGATGTAATTGGGTTCGTAAGGTGAGTCATTAAACTATTAGATCATATTCAGTATTAATTATAACTTCAGTACAATTTAAAGTGATTAAGTGATACTTTGTTAGAGTTTTATACTACACAAAACCAAAAACTTGATCGACGAGCGTTAGAGGGATACAAACCTGTCTATTGCATGCTCTGAACAGACTCAAATCAAAACACGCTGATATGTCCATTTCCAAACAATGAATTGGGATGTTAGGCTTTTATATAAAAAGTCTATAAAAACTATGTTTTTACCACCTAGATTTTTGTTATTTGAGTTTATGTACCATTCCTCAATTCATGTTTTGATTTGAGACGATCCCAGTGAAGTATCATGATCAGGGAATACTGGGGAATAGGAGAATATTACGAAGTTATATTGTTAATACGATACAAAGTTGAACAAACTAGCTATGGGTTTTGTATAAGAGTAGAAGACTGATAAAGACATATTTTAACTCACTGAGGAAAATGTTGCACAATAATTAGCTGTACAACATAACCATCTTGCGTTGATTATTAGTGCTTTTTGCTTCAAATGTGAAAGTTATGAGTAAGTGCACATGAAAGCAACGCCTAACATAACACTAACCTGTGGTCTATCTAGGGTTACTGCCGGTTCAAAGCTCAGATAAAAGAGGGGGCTTGGGCATGGAGTTAGCAACCTAATCTAGTAGAAAACGACCTTGGTAAAAAAACCCAACCAGGAAAAATCATTTAAATTCTCTCTTGGTAGTTGAAGGACCTTCATTCTGAAGAATTGTGATGCCTCATGATGAAAGCCGACATTCTTCGGAAGTTATGAGGGCGATGCTTCTTCTAACAACCAGAGCAACGACTAATAAAGGTACATGGAGTGTCCAGACAACGCGAGACTGAAAGGACCAGTCAAATAGTTACTGAAAGAGGAGATATGATTTGTTGGTGCTCGGAATCAGTGAAACCCATTGGACCCAAGCTAGATAGAAAAGGTCAAGTACGAGAGAGATGCTGGTGTACTCCTATCACGAATAGGAAAATGCGCCACAGACTCAGGGAGCTGCTCTGATGTTGTGCAAAGAAGAACTAAATGCCTTGTAGGATAGGAATCTCATGGACCCAAGATCATCAAAGCATCCTTCAAAACAAAGGAGAAAATTACAATGAATGTTATCCAGTGTTGCGCACCCACCAATGACAGCAACGACGACTATAAAGATCAGTTCTATGAGAAGTTGCAATTAATCGTAGCGAAGTGCCCAGGAAAGGACCTAACCATTCTGATGGGAGGCCTAAACGCCAAAGTCAGAATGGACAACACCGGATATGAAGATATCATGGGACGACATGGACTGACTAGAAGAAAAGAAGCAGAATGGTGACAGATTCCCAAATTTACGTATGTTCAACAAAATGGTTATAGGCGGCACAATATTCCCACACACAAAGCTAAATGGGTCTCACCGGATCACACCACACAGAACCAGATAGATTATATTTGCATCAATAAAAATTTTAGAAGCTTCATGGAAGAAGAGAGAGCAAAGAGAGGAACTGACACATCTTCAGATCACCACCTGGTGGCTACCAAGATGAAACTAACGCTAAAGTAGCACAGGACTACTGGGGAAACATCATTACAAAAGCTCAATACAGCCTTCCTTCGACATACTGACAAACTCAACGAATTCAAGATAGTTCTCATAAACAGGTCCCAAGCCATACAAGATCTACACAAAGAGGAAACCATTATGGAGAACAACTGGAAAGGGACCAGAGAAGCATTCACTTCAACATGCTAGATGATGAGCCTCAAGAAATATCATCGCAAACAATGGATCCCCATCGACACCCTGGATACGATTTAAGAAAGCAAGAACAAGAAGATAGCAATCAACAACTGTCGAACAAGGACAAAGAAAGTCAAGACACAGACCGAATACACGGAGGCAAACAACCGAATGAAGAGGAGCATTAGAACCGACAAGCGAAAATATGTGAACGACCTAGCAATGACAGCGGATAAAGCTGAAAGAGAAGGAAATATGGGAGAGCTACATGATACAATGAAGACACTAGGAGGGGAATATAGTAAGCCAAAGCGACCAGTCAATTTACAAAAAAGGAAAGCTAATCACTGAGGTCCAAGAGCAGTGGGACAGGTGGATAGAACACTTTGATGTGCGCTTCAATAGACCAGACCCATTGAGCTAACCTGGCATCGAACAAACGCCCACAAACATTCCTGTAAATTTTACCGCATCAACAATCGAAAAATCACCAATGTCATCAGACGAATCAAGGGTAGGAGAGCAGCAGAACCAGATAACAAACCCTCGAAGGTGTTAAAGTCAGACATAAAAGTACCTGCAAATATGTTTCGCGTACTCTTCAGAGAGATTTTGGAGGAAGAACAGGTACCAACAAATTGGAAAGAAGGATACCTCACCAAGATGCCAAAGAAATATCTCAGTAAATTTGAGGACTGGAAAAGCATTACAGTACTAACAGTGCCAGGCAGTTTTCAACAGAATGCTGCAGAACTGAATGAAAGATTTAATGGACTCTCAACTTTGAGGCCCACAGGCTGAGTTCCGTGAGGATCTATAATGCACAGACCAAACCGCAATACTACGGACTATCGATGAACAATCAGTTGGATGGAACTCGTCACTATAAATCATCTTCCTTGATTATGAAAAAACATCTGACAATGTGGACAGAAGATTATTAAGGAACCTTCTTCGACAAGATGATGCATCTGAAAAAATTGACATCATACGAAATTCTTACGACGGACAACACTTCAAACCCGTACATGGAGGACAGCTGACAGATACATTCCAAGTGAAAACCAGTGTCAGACAATACTGTTTAATTTCACCATTTCTCTTTCTTCTGGTGGTTGACTGGATTATGAAGACCTCCATAATTCGTGGGGAAGCACGGAATATAATGGACAGCTTGGATGCAGCTAAACGATTTAGACTTCGCAAATGACCCAGCTCTTCTGCCCAAACACAGCAACAAATTTAGGTGAAGACGGCAGTGTAGCAACAGTTTATGAAGCAGTAGGCCTCAGCACACACAAGGGAAAAAGTGAGATCTTAAAATACAATACAGCGAACACCAACCAAAATACACTTGATGGAGAAGCTCTGGAAGAAGCGGAAACATATAATTACCTGTCCAGTATCATGGATAAACGAGCATGATTTGATGCAGATGTGCTGGCACGGACTGGTAAGGCAAGGACAGGATTCCTGCAGTTAGGGAACATCTGGAATTCAAAACAACTGCCAGCCAACATCAAAGTCAGAATCTTCAATAGAAACATTGAGACGGTTCTATTGTACGGAGCTAAAACTTGGAGTTACTACAACCATTATCAAAAAATTACAGGTATTTATAAACAGTTGTCTATGCAAGATACTCCAGATCCGTTAGCAAGACACCATCAACAATGACCTATTGTGGAAGAAAACAAACTAGATTACAGTTGAGGAGGAAATCAGCAAAAGATACGAGGTGGATGAGTCACACATTGTGGAAATCAACAGACTAAATCACAAGGTTAACCCTGAATTGGAACCCTTAAGGCAAAATGAACAGAGGCAGACCAAAGAACATATTACGCTGCAGATTGGAGACAGGAGTAAAACGAATTAATGGAACTTGAGGCCAACTGAAATGGGGAGCTCAAGATAGGATTATTTCGAGATCTCTGGTTGGAGACCTATACTCTAAGAGAGGGAACATGAGTAAGCATAAAAACATAACTATAGTCTATCGGATTTCTGTTTACTTTGTTGAGAATCTTCAACGTGTTTACAAAGCGGTTGTATGGATTATTTATAGTCATAGTGATTAGCAAACGCTTTGATTTTTTTATCACCTAAGTTAGGTGTAACAATAATACATACTTAATTATCTCATGAATGATTTTTGATAAAGTATCAGTATTAACCATCAAAGTGTTAAAATAGGATGTTGACGGATGAATATAATAAACTAGTTGGGTGGTAGAGATAAATAATCACGGAGTAAAGAATTAAAATAACTGGTGAATAAATACTAAAGGGTGGAATTACTGACTAAATGGCTAAGTAGATTCGTTATCGAATATACTTTCACTTATATACAGAAGGTAATATAAATATTAAACGTTAACGAATGGTCAGTAAGGACTGATTTGTGTTTATTTTATCCACTTTAAGTATTCCCTAAACCATATCTATTCTCCCTTAATTACAACTGAAATAACTGGAAACGAGTTCAAATAGCTGCTAAACAGAATAGTGCTTCACTGGCTTCAGCAATCCATTTCATTTGATAACAACTTATTGTTTCTAGCAGAAATGATTTTGTTTTGATTGAGAAGTTTTTTGTATACTTTGAGTAGGTTATTGGATAAGAAACCAACAGTTTGTAATACGTTAGGTGGATGATGGGATGGGGTAACTGATAACGTATTTTACATACTACTAGAAAGAAATACTACGAACCAGTAAACTCGTCAGTAAAATCAATATACTGTTTGAACTAATAAATTTAATTCGAAATTCCACTGACAGGAAAATCTAGGCATAATTTCTAATATATTTTCGTGGGTCATAGGGATTTAACGTCTATAAATTTATGAATCCATGGAAAAGGGGTCATTTAAAGTCCTTCAAAATACAGTATTGGTGGAATAAAAGGAAAAATGAGACTTATCTACATGATCATTTGAAGAGAAAAATTTAACTTACTAGGACAAATAATAAAACCATGAATTTTTTGAAACCCATTTTTTTACCGGCGGTCTGTTATAAAATGATAAAGATTTTTTAGTAAAATTGGTTTTTAGCTTACGAAAACAGAAAGACGCAAACAAATGCTGAAGTTACTAACAACTGAGCCGTTAAAATTAGATAGACCTAAAAATAACAAGCAGTGGGGGGAGATATTGTTAGTATGAATACACAGAAAACAACCTTTCGAATGAAAGCATGTCTAACATATTTGTCAGAATACTGTAAGCTGGTAAAATTTCCATTGCGATTATATTTTGGCTCCTGATCCGATGGATTATCCTGATATCCTGCAGGCTCAGAGTACGGTCCAGCTGCAAATCCAATATTGGGATAAGGCGCTTAAATAAATAAAAACAAAGGAAAGGAACAAAATATTAGTTATTTATTTGGGAAAATATTCTGATTCAGAAATACAGTCACATGGATTATATTATGCTTGGTGTGAATATCAGTAATCGTGTATGTATTCGGGTACCACAATTCAACTACTATGTACCGTGTACATAACGACGACGTTATTCGACTTTCCACATGGAAGATGGTGTTTGGCTGAGTTTGAGAAATATGTTTCAACTATCAAGGTGTTATACTCCGATACTATTAGCCCTCCACTAGCTTTCCTCTTACCATGACACGACATAACGTACTGAGGAGACTGATAATCAATAAATTCGTGTTCTGTTGCTTTGTTCACATCATAGCCTAGGTAATTATAAAGACAATCTCTTAGATGAAAACCTTTACAATCAGAGCTACTTTTCTAAATATAAAATTGTACGAATATAGACCAGTATATAAAAGTATAAATCGATGATTAAAATATGACTGTGAAGACCAATACAAAGGCTAATATAAACCACCTGAATTGATATTAGCAGCACTTTCGTAAGGTGGTGGAGGATCTCTTGAATAGTTCATGTTTGTGCAAATGCGCTTCAGCAACGATATAAATGATCACCAAACTAATATCAGTAGAATCTACAAAAAAATCAAACAAGACATTAATAACTTTAAAAAACTACATGTGGAGTTGACAGTCTTCAAAAAATTAAGCCATAACTTTTTACGCAGTAATGCCCACTCTAGACATACAGATGTATTAACGTAAAACCACGAGGTAAGTTTAAATTCAGTTTGCTAAACCTGACAACATAAGACAAAATTAAGAAAAATGAAAGGCCGCTAAAAGAATAAAGAGAATCTGAAAATGTTGTCAAATGGTAAATAAAATGTTCATTAGTCATAAAACAGAGAGGACAAACCTGCCGTCAATAAGTCATGTCATAAAGAATCTAGTAATTTTTTATCGTCTCAAGAACACACAGGAGGTATACAGATCTCTCTTAAATAAATAACCAATCACCCCAAGGAATAATGTTTTTGTGTCAGTCCTTTTAATCGAAGCGATAATAGTATTTTCAGTAAATATCGTCATTTCACTCTATTTGTGTGTGGGTTGTGATACTGCCCGGGTGCCCAAACCGAAGCAGATGGTTTACTTAGGGGGCCACACCCCGAGCCTTTACCTAAAGGTCTGACCTACAAAACAATGTAGCATCGTAAGGAGATGCAGTCCCATGGTAGCCCGTTACTTATTTTTATTATTTATTTTAACACAGATATTGGTACAAGGAGGCACCAAATACATATGCGCCACACAAATCTCACTCGACATGTATGAGGGCTGTGATACTGACCGGGTGCTCAAACCGAAGCAGGTGGTTTTCCTAGGGGGCCACTCCCGGAGCCTTTGACCTAAAGGTCTAACCCACAAGGCAGTGGAGCATCGTAAGGAGATGCAGTCCCATGGAAGCCGCTGACCAACAGTTGGTTCACACGACATTTGTTCCTTCAGGATACTAGAGCCCATGTGCATCATTGGTTTGGTTTGGGATCCGGTTAAAGCCCCGGACATTCGCTTTTCGTCCTCTCATTTTCGTAAACAACAGTAATGCCACGAGAAGGCAGTGAGTAGGACTTCCCTGTCAGAGGCTGTGTACGCGTGGCCGTGTGAGAGCATTTCGAGAGGGAGGGAGGCTTTCCCCACGCTCGGCCGTACCAGGGCATTTTGGGGCCATGTACCTGTAATCTTGAGGGGACTGCTGCTCTCTAACGGATTCGAACCCGTGCCACCCAGTTTCACAGTCAGAGACGTTACCACTGGGCTATCCGGACCGCAAACCTGTAAGCACCGGAGGACTATTTCGCCCTAATGTAGGACTCCTCAGCAGTGCACATCCACGATCCCGCCCGCGGGATTCGAACTTAGGGCCCTGTACTCACTCTGGGCGGTGAGCAGATAGAAGTAATCGAAAGTTCGTGTAACATTAATATGAGTTACTCCATGATCCCAATAGAACTGGGGTACAGGAATAAGCCACCCTTGAAGAATCCCTAACGCTTAGTTGGGAACAACGCAACGTTTGAGATGAAAATTTATCTAGCTTTTATTCGATTTCAAAGTGTATAGGGGATCGGAATTTCACCATAGGATATCTAAGGAAAATTAGAAAATACAACTACGCGATTCTTCTAAAAACCGATATTGATGACTTAGGTACATCTGCTTTTAGTCGGATATCAAGTTTCTACCATACACTAACACATTTACGCATGAATTTTCTTCTAGGTTTCGATCTAATAATTACTAGATGCAGGTAACTTACACTACAGATTAGGATCCAAAGATCATCACATACAATGTAAAATTTATATACAACAAATCTAAGGATGATAAATCTAACAATTAAGTAATGAACCTGGAGTAAATAGTCAGAACAAACTACACGCTTTCTAAACGATTAAAAAGGGTTGATACAAACTTCAAAGAAATCACAGCAACCATAGTAGCGAAATCTTAGTTTGTCCATATGATAAAATAACATTTCAGGGTGAGACTATAATTTATGGACGATCTTTCAGCGACGCCAAGGTGACCTCGAGTGTCTACCAACTTACTAGGGCTAAATGAAAGTTATAAAGCAGTTTGAAGAATAAGGATTAGGATTTACAGTTGACGGTTAGGGTTAGATTTAGGGTTTTCATCACGAACTGACATCAGCTATAATGACAAGACTATTAAGCCATATGAGTAAACGAAATTCGTGCCAAAATCTTGACTGGTCTATCCATAAATTATAGACACCCATTTCAGCATTATAATTGTCAGTTCGAGATGAAAACCCTTACTAGAATCCCTGTCCACAATTTTTTGGCTCCAAATATCAACATCCTAACTTTTCATACTTATGTATAACCGTCTTTTAACCCTATTAAGTAGGTAAGTTGTCTCAACGTCACTCCAGCGAATCTCAACGACCACCCATAAATAATAGTCCTACCATATTAAAAACATAAACGTAGAACTAAGTATAAAGGTACGAATTATTTTTCCTTAAACAACCTGTGCTGTTGCAGGGAAAACCTTAGACTGATTACTACGCATTCACGTTCTTTCTACTACTTATGAATTTGTATCTCAAGATATTGACGTTACAGCTACGATAACCCATGTTAACCATTCAACTGACTAGTGCTCACGCCAAGCGAAGGAAACTCTGACACAAAGCTTTCGAAGACATTTACAATATATTTCGAAAAACTAAAATACATAAGAGCGTGTATGGCTTACTAGAAACGAACAACCTTGAGATGACAAACTTCCCTCTAGTAAACTAATGGACTCGGAATCGATGTCCAAACAAGCCTGTTGTCATAAATCAGAGAAAATGAATGATAAGTAGATGTTGATTATTTATTTTGATCGAACTAAAATTAAATGTTCGGAATTGGAGGGTGTCTACAGTCTGTAGATGTACTGTCAAGAGACGATCGGAAAAGCACTCCTACGTTCACATTCGACAGGGACAGTTCACTCTGCTAGAGTATTAACTAGGGTCAAAAAAGGGGAAAATTGTGGCGATTCCACTTATCCAAGAAACTGCCTGAATTTTATTTTTGATTGTCAACAGTGATAGCTAACAATTACCATAGGCTAAATTCAGATAATATTTTGGGATTAAAACTTGGAATAGAATGCATAATAAAGCAAGTAAACCAGATTAATCTACGGTCCGTTTTGTGGTTCTGAATTAACTGCTTTATGATGGTTTCAACAGTACAGTATAGGCACTACTTACCTTCTGTTCATGGCATTATTTCTCGATAAAGTTTGCATCAGTTTAAAATCATATTTGTTGCTAGATCCAGTTTCGTTCAGCTCTCTAAACCCTACAGAATCATATTTAGAGATTAAGCATCAGTGCAAGTCTTGGCAGTTTTACCCACTCATTTCTCATTATTAATTCATGAACAAAAAGATATCTAGTTTCTGATTACCATTTAGAACCTTAGTCATAGAAACTATTAAATCAACAGAGCTTTGTCAATACGTGGCAATAGAGTTGGGTGCCAACAATATGTACAACAATTTTACTTCGTACTGGTCATTTTGATCATTTTCGCCCGGATGTAAATATACAGGAATGAGCGGCTTTCAGGAAGCGACATATTACTTTCATCAAGTTAGTGGAAAAACTTAATTAACATTATATGATGACTAGAAGTATTGAATTATTGTAATAACTAAGAATCCTCGAAATAGCTCAGTTTAAGCAAAAAAGAATTAGGTTAACACCAATTAATGTGTTGTATTTGGAATTCGAAATCAGTAACATATTCAGTACAAAAGAATAATCAGTTCATAAAGGTACCACACAATATCTCTACGACGTTCGCCTAGCACGTGAAGGTATTTCTTCACTATTAGTAACGATACATGATGGAAAATGTGTCATAACACATGCATAACATTAAAAACCCGATGAGAAAGTCGGTTAATACCCATTCTCACATACTGTTGTTCACGAACTAAAGATTGTGTCAGCTTAGCAACTACACAGTGTTTGATATATAATTAAATGCCCAAATAAAATAAAATCTAAACTCCATGCTGAACTACTGTCGACTCCAAATAAATGTTTCAGCAAACGAGCCATTAAAAATTTCAGTCAAAAATATTTAAGTGCTCACCACATAAAACTTATCTCATCCTGGACTAGTTATTGTTACGATCCGTTTTATTTAGCAACCATAAGAAGACACCAAATTCTATATAAACATGGAGAGTTCACTGGTTCATCATTTTGCATTTCTTCTACTGTTTCGTAGATCAGCGCTTGTTTTTCGCTTTTCAGTCGGATGGGTTACCTTTTGTTTTTGTACTAGTTGTGTTAATTTACATTTCAGATGGAGATTATGATTGCTGACTGAATACATGGTTACTTGTGTTTGGCAATAGTCTAGCTAAGACTGTACGACAGTATCAGAATGTATTCAGTAAATTCGCCTGTTGGCGGGTTAAATCACACTCCAGGCTCACAGGAAAATATAGATTACTTTGTCATACACACTGCTGAGGCTAACAGTATTTGGGTTGGAACCGAATCACAGTTTGGTTGCATTGCCTCGTCTCAACCCTCACTGGCAGCTCTTGTGCACCGTCTCGTCGGGCGGATACTAAGTCTCCTCCCTGGGTGCTACCCGACGTAGTAAATTTCTGTCTCTCACTGCACTTAATAAATCGGCAAGTCGCTAGTGAATGAACTAAGCTTAATTGCTCATGCTAATTTTCATTAATTTTTGAAACGATATCTCGATATTTTACTTGGTTTACTTACTTAAATATGATCCCAAGGACAGTGTGAGTTATCCCTTAAACTAGAATCAATATTGCTTTTTTTTAGGTAACTACTCATGAGGAGGTTGAGGCATATACCTAAAAGATATGCAATATAATAATAGTACTTCATTGGTATGTTCTCATGATATAAACGGAACCCAGAATCAAAGTTGATAAGCAGCAAAAATTAATGAAGCCAATATCTCGAAGATAAGTGGTTCTGTGTTGGATATCTCCAGCACCCTGTTGAGCGCTGTATAGGCGTGATGCAATTATTTTCTGTGACCCCAGATGCAGGTAATCATGGTATAGGTGCTGTCTTAAATCAGTCTGACAGAGTGGTTTAATACGTGAGGCTTGTTTTTGCACCTACTTGACAGGATTGTTCAGAGATAGAATAGGAGTGTTTGGCGATTGTATGTGCAGTAGACAATGTGAGTAGACCATTCCACATCGTGGATGATCTTAAACGCCTACAGTGGTTGAAAGCAGAAAGCGGTCCCTGTGGGAAGTTGGTGCGATGAATGATACGTCTGTAAGATTAGGGTTCAGTGTCAGGCATATTCCTGTGAAGGAACATGTGGTAGCAGATTACTTGTCAAGGTTGGATATGGGACCTAAACTTCCACTGACAGCATACGGAGTGAACAATCTAGAGGGGGGCACACTAGAACCTGTCCGGCAGCGGAAGGCTGATCCTAACCTTTGAGAGGTAATCAGAGTGATTAACGAAGGATCAGACGTCAACAAAAGGGTGGTGGACATGGAGGTAATAATGTTGCTTCGGTAGAAGGAGAGACTGAGGGCGAATACATATGGAGCCTTGATCTGGCAGGACGATGACAAGAATTGGGTGGCGGTGATTCTGAAGGACTTGCGGCATAGGGTGATACATTAGTGTCACCAGGTAAAGCATACAGGCATCACTAGAATGGTGAATTTACTACGCAAAGTGCCTGTTGATCAGACATGGGAGACGTGTCCCAATATATGTTAGCTTGCTAGAGGTGTCAACTAACGAAAGGTGATCGATACATACAACCACCATTACAGTTAGCCCCAGTAACTGCAGTTGGTGACCTATGGTAAGAGAATGTGATGAGACTGTTTCCACAGATAGCGAGCGGTAATAAGCACCCGCTACATGTTGGGTAGATGCAGACCAGCGTGTAAAGGCAGTGATGAAAGTAGTAATGTGGCATATTGTAGCGTGTCTCGGAATACTGTAGATGATAATAACCGACCACAAAGCCTGTTTTCAAAGTGACGAGTTTAAAGCCCGGCAGCAAGAGAATAAAAACTCAATCGTTTCAATCACAGACTGACGTACTTATAGAAAGAAACATCCGGACGTTAAAGAAATGATTAGCTTTTAAAAGAGGGAATTAAGGGAAAGAGTTTCATTGATTTTGCTGGCGCATCATATCTCCACACAAGAAATAAATAAGAAACCACCCTTCCAGCTGATGAAAGGTAGGTAGCCGTAACTCTCAATATGTAATAAGACCTGACCACAACAACATAATTAGATGGCAACAAGATTGAGAAAAGGTAAGGGAGAGGCGATGAAAAACGTGAAGAAGAAACAAATGCCAGACGCGGAACAGCAGAAAAAGAAATGGAATCCCACTGCAGTGAAGACTTGACAAAGTGTAGAAAAACGGAAACACGACATAGCGGAGAGATCAGGACCAGGGAAGCTGATAAGATAAACACGAAAACAAACTTTAGGCGTGTAGTGATCTCATTCATAAATAGTTGAAATGTCTGTACAGCATTTTCGAAATCTGGATGGAAATTATAGGAACTCAAACAAGCGAAAAAGCGCAATAATGACTGCCTTTGATATATCATCGGATGCTACCGGAATTTGGTAGCACACTTGAGTCAGACCGATTTTAGAAACATTTTGTAACGTAAGCGGAAAATCGTGCAAATGTGGAATGAGATAACCATCAAGTAACATTAAGTTATTCAACACGACTTGAATGTCAAGCTGACTAAATATCGACTGTTACAAGAAGATGCACTATTTTCGGACAGCGTATTTCCTAAGAAAGAATAGATATATAAGAAGACAAAGAGCTCCCCGTTGTTAAATAATCACTACTCAAATCACCCGAGGACGTCTGCAGATTCATACGCCTGTTTTCTGCTTCCGGTGTTCCGTCTGATATCTTGCATTACTGACAGATCTCCCACACAGCTTGACATAGAACAGAACTGTTATGGACAACGGAGTGACGGCAGGCACTATTTAATAAACCCTGCTCCCCAGATACCATTACTGTTGTTCTTAACACTGTGCCTGAGTGACCGCTTCTACAAGGAGCGGATCCCGATTTGTGACCAGATTACCAGAGACAACTACATGGAAGCAACATACTATCTGTGAGATAATTGAAAGATGAACCCCCAAGCTACCCGACCTATTACTGCCAAGTGAGTCGGAGAAACTTCTAACAACGTGTAAAAGTTCAGTATATAACTCATCAAATGCACAGCGAACTCGGCCACATAGGAGAGCCAAAAGCCGAACATATTGTTCTCAACAGTTCTTGACGGCCATCTACCCATTATATCCGGATGAGGAATAAATGAACGGTAATTGCTGGGAGTTAGTATGGACTATTATTATATATCTATTCTTATTGGGTAATTATTAAGCAACTAGACTTCATACATTGATATACATACGTTCTTTTTATTACAAACTTTCATTTGACCTATTGGCTACTATTATACAATTTACCATTCTTAATTTATTCCTTATTTGTAGTTTGCAATATTCCACACTCACAGGCACTTTTCGGTTGAACCTGCATACTTATTATTTTTCATTTTATGGGGTGATGAGGTTCGATCTGCTTATATGTAAACCAAGTGTGTATGAAATATACGATTCACATTGCGGAAACTGATATTTGTGTTCTGGAGCACACGGGCTGGTCTAGACGAGAAGTTACACAGGGGACCAATAAAAACTGGAAGTTGATCCAA